GGTAAATTGTAGAGCTTTTCACGCTGCATCTTTTAGTATAAAAAGATGTCCCGATCTAATGGATAATAGAAGAGTTATACTCAAAATACGAATGGTATAATTTATTCTGGGACACCCGTTATTATAACATCTATAACCATCAGTATGTACACTGTGCTTGTCAAATCTTCGTGTTACAAATGTATAATAATATTTCTACCTCATACGAAAAAAAGTTGATTCATATTTATTTTTGTTTGTAAATTTCAGTGGACATTGTGATAAGTTTCGATACTTGAACTGCTTTCTTATTAATTGTCACCAAGACAGATTCCCATTGTAGGTGTACATTTTCAATTAATATAACTATTTTCTCATTGTAATTACACTCTAGGCTAGTTAGTTCGAATATCTTCTAGGAGAAAAAAAAACGTCATAATAAATATACCTTTTAATAAATATGGAATCGTTATCTTTTTCCATTTCTTTGTTGGATGACTCCATGCTTGTTCAAGAATATAGAAGAAAAATTCACATATATTATCACTAATTTTTAATTCTTTCAATTGTTTATCAGAAAGAATTTCAGCTAGAAATCCATAGGCACAAGCACGAATTCGATCGTAAGATGATGTTTGTGCTATCAACCAAAGTGTTGCAGGTAAATTTGTTTGTGAACTTATAAAACAACTTAAATCATATGTTTCTACTACACCAAATAAAAAAATTAAACTTGCATCGATAAGAACAGTTTCATTATTGTATAATTGAGCAGAAATACGTTGATGAAAAGGATGATAACTAACAAGACGAATAAGTGCAAAAATATGTTCATATGTTGTGTCTTTCGATGGAACAATAAATTCAATATGTTGAGGCTTTTGTCCACCCCACCAACACGATGAACATATGAGACCAATGATATGTGCAATACAAGAAAGTAATTCGTTACTCCATGAGTCCATAGTGTAACTGTGCACAAGAATCATTCGTGAATAATCTTCACTGAGAAATTTAATAATCTCTTCGCTGGTGAAAGCAAAATTTTGTGATTTTGACCATAAATAAACATTCAATGAAAATGAACATGTTTTCATATAGAAAAGTTGCTTAGCAGTGAATATAGATTGTGTAGGATTTGGCTCGCAAAGTTGTTTTAAATAGAATTTGTATTGATTTGTCATGATAAAATCACGACTCAATCGATTATTCAGGTGAAGCATTGTTGGTGAATAGACTATTTCAGAAAGTTGTTGAGCTAAATATGACAGAGTATCAAACCATAAACTGGCAAATGTTAAAAGCGTATCACTGCTTGATTCAATTTGTTCAAGTATACCATCAATCCAATCAATATTAGATGGAATCAAAAGTGATATTTTTGTATCAGGTTGAATTCCGTCATTATTCAAAATTAATTTGATATTAAATGAATGAAGTACATGAAAGAGTTTGACACAATTATCTAAATCGATTCCTTGCCATGAATCTTTACTGAGCATTTGCCATGCCCATTGTTCGATAGTGAGTAAAGACTTTAATGATACAGAGACAAATGACGGTATCGTTTGAGAAGTTTGTTTTTCGAAAATATCAGTCAACTTAGTTATTGTATTGCTGGACCAAGATGCATCAAGAAGCGTAAGAACAAGTTGTTCGAGATCGTTCTCCATCATTTTGTATTTTTAAACAGCACACCAGAACGTATAGTAAAAGAACATGTGTGTTTGAGCGAATGACTCAAGCAATGTAAGGTAAACTTTGAAATAAAAATGAGGCAAATACACAAAAGAAAAAAGAAAAATTTTACTTACTTTATAGTGAATTTGTACGTCAATATGATTGGAAAAAAAGAAGCATAAGAAAAAACATTCTTTTTCTTTTTTTTTTTTGAGTAATGCACGAGCAACTATGCGTAGTTCGAGCACGTCTAACTCTGCAGTTAATGATACCTTGCTGTTTCTATAGAAAAAAAATACAATCAATGCAGTGACGAAAATTTTTCGAATTAAGTGTATTTTGACTCACGCGCTTATAAATGTATTTCTCTATGATTAGAGGAAAGAATCAAAGTGTGTAGAATACATTTTTTGAAAACTAATATTCAATCAGAATAATGGATTCAATTCATTTCCGATAATATTTTTGACCTTTTCCGAAAGATTATTTATTAAATATCATATGAAAGTAGAATATTTTACAAAAGAATATCAACATGATTTTTTTATTTACTTTCAAGTTATATCTACAATTGTGTAGGATTAACATAGAATAGGATAAATCTCTTGAAGTAATTCAACATCATTATGACTTTCAGGATTTTTCTTAGTCTACTTAGTGAAACTTGAACATAATTGGCGAGTCATTTTATCACAATATTATTTATTTAATTTCTTCGATGAGAAAGAATTGTTCATGAATGAACAATGAATATTGTAACACAAATGTTCCTCTAGAAAATAATGTCAGATATATCATGCGACCAATATCAATGGTTCTCCATCGCTCGAATCTATTCTAAACCATAGATTAAACAATATAATAAACAACCAATACGGAAAATACTTGAACTTTTACTCATGTTTGAAGGACAGCCAATGTCACAGTCAATTTTAAGATAATAAACGGTGTCCCAAAAGTTCTGTTACAATTTTGAAATTTATCGTTCTCGCGTTCAGCAAAAGTAAACTTTGGCGGATTACTGTACATATCAAGTAGCACATAACTACAAAGTTTGAAATTTGCAGCTTTTATCATTGGTGAGAATCAGTAACAAGATTGCCACGTACTATTGTCTCAATTTTCCTCGTTATCTGGGTTGATTTTGAAAACAATACAACTTTAAAAAATGAAAAATAATGCAAATCAAGTTATTAGTATTCCTGTATTTGATTACCACATTGATCGATAAGTAGTTTTAATCGTACTGGTATTTTATCTAATATCTGTTTACATAAAGAAACACTAAGTTTGACCAATTCCCTTTTAATATCCTTTTTCGATTATTCAATATTACTATATGCTTGCGCTTGTAGTTCCTCTTTCAACATCCTCTAGACGATTTCAATAGGCCAAACGTTTGCTAATTTTTCATCACAGTTTATTGATTCAATTCTGTTGATAAAAGCGTCTGTAACAGCATCCTAGATCGCTTGGATCCTCTGTTTACGATCTTGATCATATTGAAAGATAATATTTTTTGTCACCTAATTGTTTAGCTGCTTTTTCTGCTACAGCAGTTCGATTATGTGCAAAAACGAGAACATGATCGTACAAGAAATAATCTATCCTTTAACATTGATTGAATAAACAGACCCTGGAAATTACATTTCTTCTATCATTTTTATATCGAATTTTCACTACTGAAAAATTGAAAAAATAGTTTACGGCAATCTTGTTACTGGTTATCATCAACAGTAAAAGCTATAGACCTCAAACTTTGTATTTATGTAGTACTTCATATGTACAATAATCTATCAAAGTTTCAAGACGTTTGCTTTTGTTGAACGCGAAAACAATGAATTTTAAAATTGTAACAGAACTTCTGGGATACCTTTATATACTTGATAACGGAATCTTTTCAATTACACATTACGTCAGTTATATGATCTAGTATCAAATCAACGCATAATGAGAAAAACTCAGTGAAATAATTTACTTTAAGTTGTCTTTCGTTTCTGTATTTCATTATCGTAAACGTGACCAGAGCCTATAATGAGTATCCAATTGAAATTATTTCCTTTTAAGTCTTTCCTTCACTCCATTATTTTACATCATATTCGTTGAGAATCTAATATGAGAAAGATGTTTAAGCTATTCTTTCTCAAACTCATTTTCTATTCGTTATTTGAATGTCTTCAGCATCTTCGACAATCGATTCTGAAAACTTGATTAAAATAATTTCGTTTAATTCTTTTTCTCTGCTTCATTTCATTATGCTGATTTCTAGGTCGAAAAGTTAAACGAAGATCGTATAAGATCTTACTAGTAATCGAATGTCGTCAGGTTTATACTATATGATCTTACGAAAGTTTACAACCCTAGTCGACTTTCTCTAAGCAACTCCCAGCACGATAATCAGAGGAATTCCTAGGGATTCTTCAGGGACTCCCCCAAATTTTTGTTTCCTTTTTTCTTGACTTCTTGGTACTCCCGATAGATATTGGATCACAAACTTTCTCCTGGTTTGCTCAACTCCTCGTCGATTCCTGACGGAAACTCACTGGAGACTCGGTTAATCTCTCGGGATTGCCTGAGGAGTTGCTTAGAGGCAGTTGATCAGGGAAATATCTTACTGTAATATTTATTACTTTTCTTACTATAAAATTCTTAGAAAGTCGGATGATCACAATCTTCTAAGATCGTACCTCTGATCTTCTATGATCCTGCAAGATCACATGGAAATCGTACGAAAAATTGCGGTGTCTGCAAAACTTACATCTGATCTTGGCATACGATTGTTCCCATATCATACAGATAATATGATCTGGAAAGAACCGTACATTAAGATTTGATGTAAATTTTGCAGACACCATGGTTTTTCGTACAATTTCGTCTGACCTTACTACTCATACGTTCGATTTTTCGACGATTTGAATAAATATTTGAGGGACTAAATATTATCTGATTTTAGCGGTATGACCTTTACATTCAAAAATGAATTCTCTGTATAGAAATCGTACCATTCATTGAATTCATTTGACCAATCACTCATGTTCGGCAACATGGTCAAGTGTACCTATAATTTAAAAATAAAAATAATTTTTTTGATTTAGATGAATCTGAACAACATCACCAAAAAGTAAATATAAATTTTACTAAATAAATAATATTTTGGAGAACTCACATCAATTTTCGAACAAAATAGCAAATGTAAGTTTTAAGTCGGAGTTTTCTGACTTCCCCTCTCCATTATAGGCACTCCACTACCCGCCAAAAGAATGGAAAAAATTTCTGTTTAAAGTTCAAAATTACATAAGAGAGATCCTTACTGTAATGAGCGGTTGTCTTCGTAAGCAACAACAGTCTAGGAGAAAGTTTTCACTTTAAGTATTTTTGTTTTAATTTAATGAGACTCAAGAATTTATGTGAGTTTCACATTTCAGCTCCTTTGGAGTTTCGCTAACAAGCTGTTTTTATTCAGACAATGTTGAAGAACAAATTTTATTATCTAATTAATCTTTTTTTAATATTTAGATTGAATTCGAACAGCATGGTAAAGAATAAGTAATTATTCAAATGAATGAACAGTTCCATTGATTTTTCGAGAGAAGAGTTGCTTAGAATAGAAAAAAAAGCAGTTGTATGGTAGAGATTGACGGGTGAAAGGGCACTAAAGCGAGTAATTTAACTGTAGAATGAATTCGAAGACTGCGAAAAGTCTCAGATAAATGTTACAAGATTCTCCGAGAACATTATACAAAAATACTACTGTACGATTTTATTAGCAATGGTGGCGTTAAGACTGGCATTTAAAATCGTACAAGATCTTAAACGATTTTCACATGATCATGTACTCTCATTAAAGATTATACAATAAGTTTTGATATGATCTTATAGGGATTGTACAAGATCCTATAGTCAGACTCTTGAACTTAGGTATTCATTGACAATTCATTTGAAGGAGTTGATTAGAATTATATTCCTTTCAATTGTTTAGTTTTTTTTGCTATTTTATAATCCTCATCGTCTTCGAACGCCTATTGTGCGAAATCGATTCAAGTTATTTTGTTTAATGTACTTTCATGTCTTTATTTCGTTCTCCTCATTGCCTCCAAGAACTTATTCAGACAATTCAATTAACAGTGTCTAGGTTCACTCCGTTTTTTTTTGCACTAGCTATGCTTCAATTGTCGAGATTACTGACTGGGAATCCCATTAATCATCAATCGTCAGAAGCAGTAATGATGCTCAATAGCAACTTCGATCAGCTTTTTGTAAACCTGAAATCCTATAGTTGATAGCTATGAAGTCTTACATAAAATGATCATGTCTTTCTAGTAATAGTAAAACATTATTCATAATTCTCGTATATATCTTTCACAGGTGGGTGGGGTCCTTGGCAATCGCGGTGACCCCTCTATTCAGCCTTTCATCAACCCTTCGATATATCTTATTATAAATCTTTCAGGTGATTGATGAAGTCGATAATCCCTTTCATGTACTTTAGCATAAACCTATTTGACTATTAATGTTGGTCAAGAACGCTTCCAAGTATCCTTTCGAAATACGATGCTCGACTATTATGTTTTCATCTACTCTTCCAGAAATGACTTTGAAGAGTATTTGAAGAGGTTGAAGATGCTCATGAACCCTTACAATGGGTGTATAAAAGTGCCATGAATAACAAACTCTTTGAAGATTTGTGAATCTTATGAACCTTTTCATAAATGATAGAAAAGGGTATTTTATACATAGCATTTTCATGAATTCTATTAAGGGTTTCTTATTCTACAGTTCTTATTTACAGCGCACCGATACCCCTATACAAGGTGGCTATAAGTATTGCATTATCATATGGTTACGTCAATTATAATCAATGAATAATCGATGTTATCATATAATAATGCGATAGTAATCATTACTTTTGATTATGTTTTACATGAGTAAAGGGTCACTTTAAATGAATACGAAATTTAACACTGCATATTGATTCGTCCAATCTATTGAAGCTCATAAGAGTTTGGCTACTATAATGCAGACTTTATGGCCGTGGAAGCACGTTTGTACAGCAAACAGCACTGACTAGCTTGGTTAAGATGAATGCTACAGAAGTATTAAATTGAAGGCAAAAGACAAAGAAGAACACGATCTATGTATTATGAAACAATTGTTTACAAAAAGTCAATGATGAACGGCTGATATGCTGTCTATGTTCAAGCTCATTCGCTAGTATCTTTAGCCCATTGCTCGTAATATTCACTGCAATAAACGAGTGATAGTTCATTACATTATGACATACAGAAAAGATTGATCAAACGCTTTGCATTTTGTTATTCTATAATCGGTTTTGTTCGATTGGTGTAAGAAATATCTTCAAACTAGAAATTGAAAAAAAGCAGTATGAATAGAGTAGTACTTAGTTGCAAGCAAATTAAGTGATTTTATATTAATTAAAGTTAGTTATAAATTGATTCGCTGTTTTTTTGTTCTATATTTTTGGGCACTGCTTTGTTTTATTTATTGTTTGCATTGATTAGCCATTTCAAAAAGAAGTCTATTATAATATTTGATATCGTTGTACAATTTTTGTTAATCTGAGTATCGATAATTTAATTGTATTAATGCACATTTCAAACTCACAATTTGTTGCTGTGTCACTAAGACAGCGTTGATGACTACGCGATAAAACTATGCTGATCACTCCCATCATTGACCTTCATAAGATGACGCACGTGTGTGCGACAATAACTATACTGAAGAACATTATCACATAAGGTTGACTAAGAAAGTAGTCAAGATGAATCAATATGACGATTGATAATAAGAGAGCGATTTTATTCTTTCTAATCGTCTCTATAAATATCAACTTCGAAATCTTTTTAATTTGGTAGATAATCTTGTTTTGCATTCTATCTGACTTTTAATCGGCTGAAGATCAATACATATCATACAATCGAATATTGATACTATTCTGATACAGATGAAGAAACACATTACAACAATTATCGCAGTTGGAATTGCTCTTCAGTTTGCTTATTTTTCATCTTCTGCAGGCACATCGATTCGTTTCGAAGATCGATCTAAGAGACAGCAACTGCTCGATTCTCCATATGTTGCATCAATTCGAATCGATGAAGTCATGGCACATCTTAATGAGTTACAACGCATTGCTAATGCTGCAAATGGAACTCGAGCGTTCAATACGCCAGGATTCAATCATACGCTCGACTATTTGACAAACTATCTATCAGCTAATACAGATTTCAAGATTACGAAAAGCATTTTTCCTGTGAGATATTTCGCTCTCGAAAACGATCCCATTTTACTTTCATCCATCAATGGCAAAGTTACTAATCATACATACTCGAAGAATCACTCCCTATCCGAATTTCTCGAAGTTGCATTCTCGACATCGATCAATTTCTCTAATTTCGTCCCACTTACTGCTATTCCCAACGTCGGCTGTTCGGATTCCGATTGGCTTGCAGCAAATCCACCAGCTACTGGTCGAGTAGCATTGGTCAAACGGGGTGGATGTGCCTTCACTGATAAAGGTGCACTTGCAGCGAAGTACAATGTATCTGGTCTTCTCTTTTACAATGATGGCGCATCGCCCGATCGCATGTCACCCATTTTCGAGAGTCTCGGACAAAATAATGCTCTACCAGCATTTTTTCTCTCGTTTAATCTCGGTGAAAGTTTGGCAAATGCAGCTCGAAATCCATCAAGTAACGCTAGTATTATCTTTAATATCTCTGTAGTTGATGAAAAACCAATACCAGTCGGCAACATTTGTGCTGATACTCCTACAGGTGATCCCACTCAGACGATCGTGATCGGAAGTCATACCGATAGTGTCTTAGCTGGACCCGGCATTAATGATAATGGTGAGTACGAAATATTCCAATGTTTCTGGCATCATCCGAAAACGCATACAGTTAATGATGTGCGATTTCCACCATTCGTAAGCAGATATTCCAGAGTGTTGTTCCATGTTAGAAATCATGAAGTGACTAGTGATCAGTTTTTGATGGGCCTTTTCAAAACTATATATTGAGAGGTTTTATGATAAATTTCTTTAATTTAAAGTAACTATTGGACAGCGAAAAACAACTCTCTTTTAATATATATGAAGCCGTACATGTTACTTTATTCAATTTAGGAAACAAAAATATTTCCCTCAAAGTTGCAAAATCAGAAAAAAAGCCTCTAATCACTTTAAAATGGCTAAGGATGATCATAACCAACCACGTAAAACCAAACGATAATATTTATCTTCACTTTCGAAACGATCTGGAGGTACTGAATAAAAATTGTTTTTTTTAGTTCCGTTGGCTTAGCTACATACGCATGTGGTGGCCACATAGTTGGTATTCCAAAAACTTTTCTCCAATAACTGCAAATCGCTTTGAAACTGAAAACAAAGCATCGCCATTGGACTCAACGTAGCTGATTATCTCTATCCTAATGCATTTTAAGAAAAATAAATTTCATTTCGCTAGTTTTGAGTTTTTAGAAAAATATCAATAGATCTTTTCATCATTAAGCTAGTGTGTTCGGCGCTGCGTATATCGAAAGAGATTTATTTGCTTAGTCAAATAATAATAATGTTTGAATTAAAACTTAAGGTTGAAAACCTCTCAGAATATTGCTTTCAAAGGATCCGTCAAAAACTGGTCATTGCTCCTTTCATGGTTTCTAGCGTAAATCAATGTGCACCGATATACACTCCCGAATGGTAAAAATCACGAATTGCTAATTGCATGCGCTCTCAAATTATTCGAGAAACATCAGAATATTTCATTTGTTTTTATAAATCCGATAATAATACTTATTCGTTCAAAGGCAGTGGTACTGTAGCTAATCTTGCCTTTGCCGTTGCTCTTGCACGCCTCTTTCGAACACCAACTTATCCTAAATACAAGTATCGTGTTCGATTCTGTTGGTGGGGTGCTGAAGAACTCGGTGTATTTGGTTCTAACTTTCATGTTGCACAAACTCGAAATTCGACAGTTGTCGGCGAACGGGTCACTGACTATTTGGTCTATCTCAACTTTGATATGCTCGGTTCGCCTAATTTTATGTTCGGTATTTATGATGGTCGAACAGTGAAAAATAATAATCCATCATCAGTTATTCCAGGTAGTAATAAGATTTCTGCATTATTTCGTGATTGGTTCATTCAACATGACTTACCTTGGGATTTTGCTGATTTCGATGGTCGCAGCGATTATAGTCCATTTTTAGTAGCAGGTGTGGCTTCAGGTGGTCTCGTTTCGGGTTTAGATGGTATCAAAAGTCAAGAACAACGTGATCGTTACGATCGATTACTCGGTCAAGGTCTAGGTGGTCTTGCAGGCATCATTCACGATCCATGCTATCACAAAGCATGTGACACTATACAGAATATTAATGTGTTTTGTTTTGAGAAGATGATACAAGGATCTGCCTATGCTATCGAGAGTCTGGCTCGACAACCAGATTTAAAAGAATGGTTGTATCCAGTAGATGAAATTCAACGTTGAAAGGTTTGACGACTACAACATCAAAAATACGTACAATTCGGCTGATGATTACTTTGAAACATTCTAATTTTGATTCTTATACTTTTTTCCGACTTATAGATGATTAAGCAATATAAATATCTCTTTTATAGGTGCAAATTGATCATTGATACATAAAGAAAAATTGTGAAGCACTTCACTTTCTGAATCTTTCCATTTCAACATTCAATTGAATACAGATCGACCTGTATCTTAACGAAAAGACAAGTTCAATCTGCTAGTCTCAACTTGTGTTTTTTATTAATCGACCTGGTCGAAAATTAAGTCAAAATTGAATAATAATAATTGTACTTAAACTAAAACAATTTAAAAGAAATTCAGAGTTAATTTCGCCGACGCGTTTCGTGTTAGTTATTGGAAGACTCATCATAGCTCTGCATTACAAGAAAATGCATAGCAGCAAAAATTAAGAAAAAACTAAAAACCCAAAAATACGATCAGAAAAATGAGGAAAAACAGAATAAAAAATTTGGATTAGAAAAGGGTTTGAATCGTGATGTAACCAAGATTGTTGTTTGACATCCGAATCAAATGATTAATAAATCATTAATTATATAGGAAATAGTCAAACCACAAATATTTAATTTAAATAGTGTACAAAGCAAGGGCAACTAAATCAAAATATTAAGAGAATCGAATTGTAATGAAAGGGGTGTGGGTGTGGGTGTGGGTGGGTGTAGGCGTGGGTAAGAAGAAAAGAAACACTTACACACCCACCCACATCCACACTCACACCCACCCACACCCACACCCACACCCACCCACACCCACACCCACACCCAC